ATTTATACTACAGCAGGATCATTTAAATTAAATAGTTATATTTAAAGTACTTTTAATCTTAAAATAAATTAAAACATCTATGTTTTAAGTGTTTCCAGTACGATAATAAGACTGTTTTTAATGTTTAAATGTGTTTAGGTCACTGATTTTAAATCTTTATGAATCGTGTTGTGGGTTCATCCATCCATCCATCCATTCACTTCCGTTTATCCCTTTCAGGGTTGCGGGGGACGCTGGAGCCTATCCCAGCTGCCATAGGGCGAGAGGCGGGGTACCCCCTGGCCAGGTCGCCAGTCTGTCGCAGGTGGTGTGAAGTGCAACTGCTATTGCATCATCTGTAGATCTGTTGGGTCTGTAGGCAAACTGGAGCAGATCAAGTGAAGCAGGGAGTAAGGATGTGATATGAGCTTTGACTATGCGCTCAAAGCACTTTATGGCAATGGAGGTGAGTGCTATTGGGCGATAGTCATTTAGGCAGACCACATTAGTTTTCTTAGGCACAGGGATGATGGTCCTCTTAAAACATTTTTGGGATAGCAGACTGGAGCAGGGAAAGGTTAAAAATGTCTGTGAAGACGTCTGCCAGCTCGTGGGCCCACGCTTTGAAAACACGACCTGGAATGTTGTCCAGGAGCTTTCCAAGTGTTTACTTTTGTGAAGTATTTACATACGACTGCCTGAGATATCTGAAGAAGGCAGCTGTCCTCTTCCAGCAAAAGCTCCTGAGATATATGTTTATCAAAGTGTGCATAGAAGGTGTTAAGCTCGTCAGGTAGAGAAGCAATTACCTCCCTCACTCTGCCGCTGTTTCCCTTGTAGTCTGTGATGGTCTTCAGACCACTCCACATGTTCCTGGTGTTGGAGTTGCTGTAGCAGAGTTCCACCTTTTCTTTGTACTGTCCCTTGGCTGTCTTTATTGCTTTCCTGAGTGCATACCGGGATGTTTTGTATTCACCTGGGTCTCCAGATTTAAAGGCTGCAGTCCGCGCTCTGAGTGCTGCGCGGACCTCTCTGTTAACCCACGGCTTCTGGTTAGGGTCAGTTTGTACAACAGCCTGCAGTACGACGTCATTGATGCATTTAAGAATACTCAGCATAATTGTTGGTGTTGTTGTTCGCGGCAGTCCGGAAGACTTCCCAGTCTGTGATGCTAAAGCAGTGACACATAAAGTCTGACAATAAACTTTTTACTGGGGGAAAAAAGTTTCAATCAATCAATCAATCAATCAATCAATCAATCAATCAATCAATCAATCAATCAATCAAGGCTTTATTCAGCACATGCAGGTTGGCCTGCAGTGAAATGGGACACCCCCCCCCGACCTTACACACACAACACAGACATCACATGGGGATACAGGTTGGAGATCGGTTGCAGTACAGAAATGTACACAACAATGGGAAAGTACAACAGCTCCCTGACCTGCACTCAATCTACAGCAGGCGGTGCTGGACCAAGGCCAGGAAGATCGTGAAGGACCTCAGCCATCCCAACAACAGACTGTTCTCTGTTGAGGTCAGGAAAGTGATTCCGCTCCCTAAAGACCAACACAGAGAGACTGAGGAGGAGCTTCTTCCCGCAGGCGATACGGTCTCTCAATCACACCACCACACAGTACTGACCCACACATACAGTTCTTACACACACACTGGACTTTCTGGACATTGTTTTCACTTCATCACTTAAATCACTTTAAGCATATTTGCACTGCACAAGACATAATGTGGATTGCACAGCACTGGTCACTACATTCTTCATTTCCGGTTAATACTTGTACAGCTGCTGTTATTGTGTATATATTTATTTATATTTCTTCATACATGCTTATATATTTCTATATTGTGTATTTTGTTGTACAGTTATTTTATTTTCAACTTTAATTTATATATTTTATCTTATTCTTTCCCAGTTAAATTTACCTTTCATCCTAATTTGTGTTGTACAGTTATTTCATTTTTAACCTTAATTTATATTTTATTCCTTCCTAGTTAAATTTACCCTTTTTAATTTTTCATATTTATTTCCTATCCTTATTCATAGCCTTTCCTTTTTTGTTTTCTTTAGGTCACGAGCAGTTGTCCAAGCATTTCACTACATATCGTATTGTGTATGACTGTGTATGACTGTGTACATGACAAATAAAATTTGAATTTGAATTTGAATTTGATTTGAATTTGATTTGAAAAAGAGACCTCTACTCATGCTGAGCTCCTGGGAGGACAGCATGAGAACAGGAAGCAAAAAAAACTCCTCTTCACAAAAAGCACATAAATGTCCACAGCACAACATTATAGAGCACGTGACCAGCAACAGGGTTGGGTAGGAGATGAGGAGTAATCCGAGGCAAACACAGCAGCCATCCTGCCCAGCGCAGCCATTCCCATGTGGGCCCAGACCTGCCGTGTTCTCCAGGAGGGAACAAACATCGAAGGCGTTTGGAAAGGGAGGGGGGATGAGTGAGTGCCTATCAGTGTATGTGTGTCCAGAGTTCAGCTGAGACAGTGTCCTTCGCCCTGCCAGCCTAAGTAAACAGTCCTCCAGCCAACCCAGGTGGCCTTGCATGGGATGGGAAGAACAGTCTAAACACAGTCGTTATCAGGGAGTTGTTGTTCAGCTCCAGCCTTGAGCCCACAGCTGGCACTGAAGGGATAGCCGCATTATGATGGTGCTTTTTTCTTCTTTAGTGCGAACAACTCATGAGAATTTCAAGCTGTTTTTAACAGTCCGACACTGGTCTCTCACTGGTTTCAATCCCAGTGTCAGCCTTGTGGGGGTTTGAACAGCTGGTTCCGCTTTCTTAATTCTTCGATAAGCCAGGGCCAAGCCCGCTCCGATAAGCCAGAACCCTCTTACCATGGTTCAGAATAGGTAGATATCTTCAGCGTCTTCCATCGACAGTCCCGCCAGGCACACGATTCTCCATTGTCTCCATGTCTGCCACCCGTCCATCGGGTATCCGGCAGGGAAAGTACCTCCAGGAAACTCAGGCTCTCCCGAGCCCAGACTTCTCGTTGACAAAAGGGTGTCAATAGCATTCAGGGACCAGTTAATTGAATCCATAATTCTCTTTTAGGTTTTAGAGAACAGACTGTGGGAGAGTGTTCAGGGAAAAGTAACACAAAAAACACGAGACTAGATGAGGGCATAAGAGCTAAGCAGGGAAGCTAAGGGAGAGGAGGAGAGGAGAAAAGTGCGACTGCCTTTGCCGAGAGCCAAGAGAGAACACCTTGTGATTTTATGACATCATGTTATAAGACATTAAATTATTATCAACAACATTATCAGATTCTCTTCATATCATGTGTATTTATGTTTGTAAGTGGCTTACAGTCACATTTATTATTATTAAAGATAAATACGCTCAAGTTCATTCAGAATAAGTTGTTTTTGTATTTATTATATCTAGTATTAAGTCTTAATATCTAATGTGTGTTCAGTCATATCTTCGATGTCAGAATAAAAGTCTTCACTGAGCGTTTGATGATGTCAAATGATCTCAGGTCTCATGACCTGCTGTTGGACAAACTGAGCTTTGACTCTGAATGCTTCACACTTGTCACACTTTTAATTTCAGTTTGTGTCCCTGATGTTTGCCGTCTGCACTGTGGATGTCTGATTTCGTTTTTCAAAGTTTAGCCTGCAGATGTGTTACAGTGTTTGTGTGTGTGTGTGTGTGTGTGTGTGTGTG